CATCAAAATTAAACATTTTTATGTGTTGTATAGACACCATCAAGAAAGAGAAAATTCAACATAGAGAATGGGAGGAAACATTTGCGTATTATGTATCTGAAAAGGGCCCAGAGTCCAGAATATAGAAAGAGCTCTTACTGATAAATAATAAAAATAATAGCCCAACTTAAAAAATGGGTGAAGAATTTGAATATAGATTACTCCAAAGAAAAAAATACAAATGGCCAGTAAGCACGGGAAAAGATGATCAACATCATCAGTCACTTGGGAAATGCAAATTAAAACCACAGTGAGATTCCACTTCACACTCACTGTGGTGGCTATAATTTTAAAACAAATTAATGAAAATAATTATTGGTGAGGATGTGGAGAAATTGGAAGACTGATATTTTGCTGATGGGAATGTAAAATGGTGCCGCCACAGTAGAAAACTGGCAGTTCCTTTAAAAAAGATAAACATGGAGTTACCATAAGAACCATCAATTCCACTCTTTGGTATATAGCCAAAAAAACTGAAAACATATGTCCACACAAAAATGTGTAGATGAGTGTTAGTAGCAGCATATTTTACAATAATCTAAAAGTGGAAACCACCCAAATGTCTATCTACCATCACATGGATAAGCTAATGTGGTATATCCATATGAGGAAATAATTTAGCCATGTAGAAGAATGATGTATTGATTCATGCTACAACATGGATGAACCTTGGAAACACTATGCCAGAAGCCAGGTACAAAAGGCTGTATTTGGTCTGATTTCATTGAAATGTTCCCAACAGGCAAATCCTTGGAAACAGATGCTAGATTAGTGGTTGCCAGGTAATGGGAGAGGAACGGATTTGGGGTGACTGCTAATGATTGCAAGGTTTCTTTTTGGGGTGATGGAAATGTTCTGGACTCGGTGATGGGTGCACAACATTATGAATATACCAAAAAAAGCTGAACCGTATTATTTTAAAATGGTGAATTTTATGTTTTGTAAATTTTATCTCAATAAAATATTTATAAAATAAAAATAACAAATCCTAAAAAAAAAAAAAAAGCAATGTGGTGCGTACAAGGATCAATAACACATGCAAGTGTCAGAGAGAGAGTTGTTTGTGGTGTGAACCTTGATCAGTGGGAAACAAGAGAAAGGAAGGAACCAGGCAGGTAAATTCTTCCTTTTCCTTCCGTGGACTATACTAAGGTACAGGTCTTCCTTGAAGCCCTGTCTCTTTGTGGGTGTTGCGAAGTAGGGAGCATAATAGTAACTTAGGATTACATTGCTTTATGTTGTCTAGATTCCTCTCTCCCCGCCCCGGCCACCTTTTCTCTCCCTCCCTCCCTTCAGTCTCATTGTCCTGAGTTTACTCTCCTAACTAAAGTCTTAGCACCTTTAGTCCTTGCCCCAGATTCTGCTACAAAGAGCACCTGGACTAAGATATTAAAGGAAGAGCATGGTAGAAGAGGGAACGAGAAGACATGCTGTCAAATGTTGATTCTATTATTGTAGAAGAGACGTGGGTATTTTTGAAGTTATATTGACTGTAGGTGAAAAGCTGACTTTCGTTTGTGCATAAAAAGTGAAATTATTCTGTCAAACTCATTGAGAAGCACTATTTTTTAAAAACTGTTTTCCTCTTTATAAAAATAATATATACTCATCAAAAATTTCTAAACATGCAAATTGAACAAAAAAAAGAACATTAAACATATACAAATTGAGCAAAAAGAACATTATCCAAAATCCGACATCATTTTAGTGTGTATCCTTTCAGCCTTTTTTTAAAACAATACATAAACCAATAAATACTTTTTTTCCTAAGAAATAATGTCCTGAGTAGAATGTGTGCTGATGATAAAGTTTCAATTGCTTTAAGAGTTTAGAAATTCTCCATTAAACACATAAAATTCATGGTTAAAAAGCAGTTGAACCCCTTCAAATTTGAAAACTCGTGCTACATGAGCCAGGCCTAAAGAATTACGCTTGCTTATAGTAAGTAAAGCCGATCTCTTTCAATGAATGAAATGATTACTTTAACTTAATCTGTGATCCTTCCCCATGAGTGGGGTGTGTGAGCATGCACACACTGCACGCGTAGAGACAGGAGCCTTAGAAGGGATGCAAGATGATGGTTGTGACCTGTGCTCTTTCAACATCTTTTATAAAGTAAAATCTAACACAAGAAGATATGTAAGGATCATGGGGCTGGAACATAACCTGGAGCGAGAGATACAGGGAGAGGGTAGAAGGGCAGCACCCATGCGTTTCCTTCAATGATGATGGATGGCAGGCAGTCACCTTGGTCTACATGAGCCTCAGCATATTAAAATGCTGGTGGCAGAAGGGACTCTCCTGCTCTCCTTCACTGGCTTTGTCCCTGCCTGGCTGGCCTTGGGGCAGATATTAGGGTGCAGGAGACGTATGGACCATGATTTGTCATACTTAGTAGTTTTAGGAATTATGTTTTTCTGACTTCAGTGAGCTGTATATTTAACCACAGATAATTGCAACATTTTTACTTTCACTTAGAAAACTGTATTGACTGATTTTGAACAAAGCAGAAATAGTAAAAATATAGGGAAAAATTACACGGAATTTACTGTGTGACAGACACTGTTCTTAGTGCTTTTATGTTAACTAATTTAATTCTCATAATAAACTTTTGAGGTAGGTAGTGTTATGATCCCCATTTTGCAGATGAAGAAACTGAAGAACAGAGTGGTTAAGTAACTGGCTCAGGGTTGCACAGTCATAAAGTGTTTGAGTAAGGTTTCAACGCCAGGTATCCAGCTCTTCGCCTCTGTATGTTACTTGTGTTTAATCAAGCATGCTGCGAAATGAAGACTTGTGGATGGGTAGCTATGCTGTAGAGGCTGCAGTAAGGTTCATTTCAGATGACATTAAGTAATGCATAACTCTTAGGGCAAGTACTATGCAGAGGAAGATTTTTAAATCGATAACCGGAAAGAATGCTGTGGTTGAGAAATGCTTTAATAAAATGTGTCACTTGCATTGTTTGATATATGTGAAGCACTGGTGTGGACATCGAGTTTCACATTAAAAAGAACTTAAGTTGGCCACTAGTTGATATTTAATGTTAATTATATCAAAATAAAACAAAATAGCTTTCCTTACTACCCCTCTCACACTGAGCCCTGCCACAGATTGTGCAGAAATGGGGGTATTGATGTGCAGTGGGGTCTCCACAGGGCGCTGTGCAGATCTGTTCCTCAGGGGCGGCCTTAACTGACCAGAATAGATGTACAATGAAACACTGTTGCAGTCATCTAATAGGAGATAATGTTTGTCTCTGTCACTCTGTGAGGGAAAGGTATCATTGATATTTGTTTTCTCATCTTATTGTTCAATCAAGTGGCTAGCATTGTGCTTGGCAGTCATGTTTATTAAGTGAATGGGCAGCCTATAATCTTCCTGATTGCAAATTTGCGTGGGGAGCCAAACTGTAAACAGAAGATGAGTAGCGGGCATGAAATTGGCAAGGCTGACATCATCAAACTGCTGCAGGGTAATAAGAGCTCTACTCTATTTTCTAAAAATTTGTCTACTTTAAAAAAAATAGTGAACATACTAATCCATCTGGAGTAAATTTTAGTGTACTGTGCATTGTTTGGTTTCGGTTAATCTTTTTCACAATTTTTAATCTAGTTATAATTCTATTCAAATTTTTCTTCTGTAATTTTGAAAAATTGCTTGTATCATGGAAATAGTTGGGTCTATTTTTGAGCTCCTCAGAGTGTTCCATTTTCTATATTCATTCTTATACTTTTTATCATTTTGCTTTGATTAATACTACTCTATTGTATATTCTAATATCTAATTAGTCCATATCGATTGTCTCTATTGAGTTTGTTTGGTAATACAATTACTCATGGTCTATTTGTTTTGACAAAATAATTTTAGAATTATTTTGTTTTGCTACTTAAAAAATCTCCTTAAATATTGGTGTTAAAATTTATAAACGAAATGTCCAAATTATGTTTTCTCAGTCAGTTAAAAGTAAAGTGAATACCTCACTTGACCCCTTGCCTAGGTGATAGAATGGTATGCTTGGAAAATAGTACAATGTGAGGGACAGACTCCATAGGAAAGCAATAAGATGACCAGCGAGTAGCACATATAAATTAAGATACAGATCTACATTATAAGTAAACTGGACAAGTCCATTTCCTTATAATGTCAGATTTTACTGCCCTCAATTTTAATTGAAAAGGACAGAGTTAGAGTAGAGGATAGAATGATGTTTGCTTAGTGTTATCATGATACCTTGATTTCATTTCATCAGTTTTTGTTTATGCAACGCAAAACAATCTTTGGAAGAACACAGTATCACCTACTGTTTAAAAATGTGCGTTCAATGGCCAGATTGCCTGGCTTTGAATCAACTTATTTGCTGGACTTCACTTTACACAAAATGGGATGATAATAGTGCCTTCTGCACAGAGTTGTTACCATGCCAATAATATTACATATGTTAAAGAGATTTTGAGTTAGAGGTACTTTTTGGTTTGGGAGAGGACTGTTTACCTACGTTTCTTCTTCCCCTCCTCCTCCTTAAATCTGAGTCTACTCTGTACAGGTTTATGTGACCAACATGACCCAGTAAGTCTGCACCCTCATAGTTGGCCTTTGCCATTATCAAGGAAATGTCTTTTGGGCTTTTGTATGTGACTAATTTATTGTTGCATTCTGCCTGCCTTCCCCTGGCCTCCTGGCAAAAATAGCTGGATTTCATTAACATTCAATCTCTCTTGATACCATCTCTGCTAGATATTAGAGGGGACTGCTACCAATGAAGCTTTAGTGATCTGATTCAGAATAGATTTGAACTTGAATTTTCCAAGTGCTCTAAAATTACCATTTATAAAGTTTCTCTCCATGTGTACCCACTTCCTTGTGCCCTCTGCTTCCTATCCCTGCAACAGGGAGCCTAGCCAAGTTTCTTGTGGCTCTCTCGAGTTGGACACTGAGATGAATCTTGTTTCATATTTCAGGTGCAAGTTCTCTCTCATCATCTCGAATCCCTGCTGCCAGGCGCCCTGTATGAGTGACGCCTCGGTCTGCCATGGAACCTGGCCCTGCCCTGGCCTGGCTCCTGCTCCTGAGCCTGTTGGCCGATTGTCTGAAAGCTGCACAGTCCCGAGACTTCACAGTGAAAGACATTATCTACCTCCACCCTTCAAGTAAGACTCTGTTTTCTTTGCTATAGAAATGTCACTTTACTTCAAATAAGATGTGAGTTGAAAAATGGCCGAGAGAAGGCAGCCTTTGATGCTGAGGAAACCTTTGGTGATTTGATTGGGGGGGTGCACCTGCTAATGAAGATGCTGTATGTTTTACCCTCACCTTTTCATAGCGTGTTTGTTTTTTATTTTAAGGTAAATCTTAGGCTTGTTTGCTCTGTTCCCTGCACCATAACTCTGCTTCTGAACACTCTTCCTTTTGACTCATGCCAGCCTCAGTCAGTTATCAAAGAGAAACTCCATGTCCCAGGAGGAAAGTGTTTGTAAAAGATCAGCCCTTTATAGGCAAGACAATAGCTGTTCTTCCTGTCTGCACATCTCATTTTTGTTTGGTTTCAACGTAATTATCTCCCACAACTTCCTGTTCCCTATCCCTTTTGGTTTCTTGTGTTCAAGAATTATCTAGGGAGTGCACTTCCTTAGAGTGTCTGATTGCATATCGGGGGCCGTACCCACGGATTTTTGCTTTCAATAAGACATTCGGGTGCTTCTGCTGCCAATATTCTAAGGATCACACTTTGATCACACAGTACTTTCACTTCCACTTTTCATCTCCATCTCTGGATTTATCTCTTCTCTTTTATTAGTTTCATTTGGATCCTCTTCTGGATTGCCCTTGTGGTTATGAGAGCTAGATCTATTGTGTATATTTTGAGCTTTAGTGTTTGCCCTGAGGTATATTACTCTTTTGAAGTGTTTTGTTCGACAAACACTTTTTGATGGTCTGTGTATGTCAGCATTGTGATAGGTGTGAAAGATATAAGGGCAAATAAAACATAATCCTTGCTTTTGAGGATCTTAAAATCTACAAAATGGAGGCAGCCACTTGGACTGTTCCAATGCCACAGTTAGACTATTTAATGTCTACATGGTCTGGTTTGGATGTGAGACGACCTGAGGAATTCACAGGTGCTTTCAGTCCCCTTGACTCTGGGTCAGCAACTAACTCAGCTGCTTCATAGCCTTCTAATTTGAAATAAGTGCTCTAACTTTGTGAAGATTAAATGAAAGACTGTGTACTAAGCACTTGGCACTGAACGTGAGCCATAGTAAATGCTCAATAAATGTTAGGGCACTCTTAAGTGTTAATTCCCACATTTCTAAAGTGGATAAAATAATGCACACCCTGTCGCATTATTTCGTGCACTAGAAATAATATTCGTAAAATGCTGGGCACATATGTAATAGACTGTCAGAGGCTTGTTGTTTACGATGTTGTAATTGGCTTAGACAGTAAACTGAGGATGCTAAAAATACAGCACTCTAATTTTTAAATTCCAGATATGTTTTTAACAAGCAGCAAATCATTTCCTTAGACTTGTTGCTGCTGTGCCCTCTCACCAGTATAGTCTGGTAACTCCTGGTTGATGGTATGGGAAGCTTATCTGGCTGTTTATGCATGGCTGCTTATTTTAGTAACATTCATGAAAAGAAGGTGCTTTGATACTTGCTCTGTTTCCTAGGATTGAATTTTATTCTTTTATGCAAACAGCCATGCTTTTTTATTAGACTTGGTGAACAAAAAGCTAGGTTTCAGTCTCTTAGGTTTGATTCCTGGGATTTTCGGTTCCTGGGGGATTCTTTATCCTCTTTGGTGACAGACTCAAAGTCACTGGGCCGCAAAACAGACCCATGCCTGTCTTTCTCTGAGGTTGTGTATACACAGGGTGGGAAGGAAAATTGAGGGGATTGGATGTAAGTGAATAAGGATGAAACAAACACGAACACCATTCTGCCTCAGTGGTGTGGTGGGTCAGTGCCCAGGTCGAGTGGGCCCCTGTTTGGAAAGCAGAATGGGATCTGGAAGATGAGCTCTGCCAGGCCAGACGGGCAGTTGCTCTTGCTCCCTAGAAGTTGGTGGAAGAGTTCCGCTCATGTGACCTCTGTTAATTAAAGAGAGCCCTGGCTGGATTAGAAAGAACTTGCCAGACATAAAGAATCGGTGAGGTTTTCTGATATGGTTTTGAAATATGGAGAAGGACGGAAGAAGTCATTCCTAAGTTAGAGTATATACAGACAATTCGCCAGCAGGTCTGGCTGAGTTCTCTTTCAGAGTCTCTATACCTGGGGAGTCAAAGTTCTTACTGGTTTGAAGTCACCGTCAATGGGTCCTACCTGGCTAGAATTTTGTTTACTCTGCCCGCTTTCAAGCAGAATTAATTTCACATTTCTGTACCCTATTTCAGAAGTTTTTGGTGTTCGTCTTCTTGTTTTTACACTTTGATTTTTTTCAACGGTCATGGGCCCCTGCCCTGCACAGCACTCACTAGACTGTGTTTAGATGGAGCAGTCTCTACAAATAAGCAGGTTTCTGTAAAATAGTGACTCTAAAAAATATATGAGGGAAGTGTGGGATTATTTTGATCTTGAATTATTTATATAATCACCTCACTTTGTAGATGGAGGCACAAAGAACTTTCTTGGGTTCAGTGAGTGAGCCAGATCCATTAATGTTAGATAAAACTCAGAACTTGCCCAAGGAGAAACGCGGTAATGCTGGGGATGTGAAAAGATGCACAAATTTTTCACACCAGACAAACATAAACTCATTTCTTCTGGGCCCCAAACAGACCTCAGAGATAATAAGTGGTGTGAGATTGGAACCTGGGCTGGGAAAGTTCAGCCTCCCGTGACTAATCTCCTTCACTCTCTTGTTCCCTAATCTTTGAAGTTTCTAAGCCCCTAAAAGAAAAACTTTATAGCTTTCAAACTTTAGGCACTATCCTCAATAACATTCTTTTCTATAATTTGTATGTTTTTTCTTTTTCACGTGAAAAATGATGAATTTTTTCCCAGCCCATAATTAAAGTACCAAAACTTAATAAATCCTTCAAAACAAGAGTTAGTGTTAACAAAAATGGAGCTACTTTTTTGGTTGTCAGCCATTATAGGAGATAGCAGAATTTAACATACTGACATCAACCTGTTCTTGGCTTCCATTTCTTTCCTTATAATAGAAGTCTTTTCTGAGATATCCAGTTTTCCTCTGGTAAGACTTCCCTTAATCATATGGACCAAAGCACTATATTCCTGCAGTGGGCTCGCTCATGCCCAGATAAAGAGCCAATGAAGTTTTTTCATAATTCTATACTATGCAAGTCTTAGGGAGTAAGGGGACTTTCTAGAAAGGTACCAGGAAATGCATTTCTACCAGAAATATGTTCATGGTATTAACATTATATCGATGATACTTTGTTCCCAAGTGGACTGGCAAGGAAGATCAATTTATTAAATTTCTAGAAATTTTATATTTGCGTCACTTCCAAAAATAATGGATATTAATTGGGCAAGAATTTAAAAATGTTTGGCTACATTACACATCAGCAGACATTTCAAAACAAGATTCTCTTCTCACCATGGTTTTGGGAACTGAAGGCCTTTGTCCAGCCAGGCAAAAGTTCCAAGAGATGGAAACAAAGACGAAATCTTTTCTGATGCCTTACAAATGAATATGGTCGGCTGAACTATGGCTGACCATGAAAGTTAATGGACAGATTATGTTACAGGAAGTAACTGGGCACTTTGGCATTTCTTTTTTTCTTTACAATCACCTTCTCTTGAGGGACCAAGGACTTATGCCCTGAAATACAGAGTACTAAGCTTATTAGCTCTGTGATCAAGAGCCAAATTAGATTCATTCACAGCTGGGGCCACAACAATTTGAAACTTTACTTGCTCTGTAATGCTTTGAAGTAACAAAGAAAAAAATAGAACATCTCTTAGGAACCTCTTTGCAGTCCTTTTAAAATAACTTATCAGATGCAGTATCAGTTAGCAAGTTACTGGAGATAGTTGTTCAACTGTAGACTTTATTTTTAGCTAAATATTTTCAGAGGCAAGAATTTAACCATTAATTGGTGTTGTGCTACAATTATCAACTTAAAGCTGAGTCTGTCTGCAGAGATTTGTCACTAAAGAGGATTTGGTTATCCACTGGTCAGTACTATCTGCCAAGATGTAAGTACAAGTTCCTATGAGCAAATATTAGAATGTCATTGTTGAGAATGCACACAGATATGAAGTTGTAGATTTAAAAATAAAACACCGAAAATGAGATCATTTGGTTAATTTTTAGTGATATGCGCTGATAAACACATTCAGAGATAAAATGATTTGAAACAAAGCTTCATTTTGCTACCATAGTGTTTTAGGTCATATTCCTGTTTAAATTTTGATATTCTTTAAGTGAATTTCAGAGTCCAGTTCTACTTGTGTAAGAAATGACAGTATTTAATTTAATATATCACTAGTCTTGCACAAGATAATTCTGAAGAGTCTATTAAATAATCCAAATTCGGAAACACTGCAACTTACTAACGTTAGGTTCTCTAGAAGTTTATTCTTGGAACAGCTGGATTGTCAATCTGCATTCAAAGTTCTTAATTTCTGTGTTTGATGAGAAAGTTTCCAGAAATAACTAATCCAAAAAGCCAGCTAAAAGTTTTACTGGCTGCAGTGACAGACAGATAAAATTGGATACTTTAGTGAATTAACCATGCAAGCTAAAGTGGTATGGCTAGCTTGCAGTCATAAACCTTGTTGTATATGATCATTTTTTGAGAAATGCTGTTTTTAGACAAATAGTTTACATCTTTTTTTAAATCAAATTCTGCTTCAAAATTTACAAACTATTTTAAAGTTCTATCTTTTAAACTTATATATTAAATCTTTTGAAGTTGATAGTGAAACTATTTTTTAACATATCAAGTAGAATAATTTCCTAAAATATTTTGTATGGTTTTTCTCATAATGGCATTTATAAAAATAATTAAAATGTCCATGAAAATGTTTGAATGGCTTTGGAGTATGAGAACCTATTTTAAATTCTTCAGGCATGTGCTTATCTAAACTAGGCTCTTTCTACTTAAATGTAACCCACCTATCTATGTGGTGTGATGTCGAGATATAAGAATTATTTGTGTGTGGTTTGACAAAGTAGT